AATGTAGAAGTGTAAGTTGAATAAACCCTTTCCTCCCCAACTTGCTTCTTGGTCATGATATTTGTGCAGGAATAGAAACCCTGACTAAGACAATGATGTACTGTATATGGAACAAGTGTGTGTGTGTGTGTGTGTGTATACATGCATGCATGTGTATGTATGGCCTTAAGAAGTACAGTACCTCTCTAGCTTTAAGCACATATTTTGTTCCACATTATGCTGTGGTTTTCTGGGAAGAGGGATGTGTTGAGGTCGTGTGTGAAGATCAGTAGCTCATTTGAGATACACAGACTGTGAATGGTAACACATTACCTGGAGGTTGGTGGGCAGAGCCAGCTGAGCCTTGGCCTCTGGGAGTAGGGTCTGGGGGAGGAGATGAGATTTTCTGTCATACATTCCACTGTACTTAAGTTGGTTAAACTCGATAGCAGTGTGGTTTGGTAAATGCTATCAATGAAAATTAAAGGACCCATCCCCAGGAGCCTGGGGGTGATGGGCCCTGTTCCCATTAGCATCTTGTCTTCAGAATTCTGGGAAGATTTTGCTGGTCTCCTTGGGTGTGTTGACAGGCTGCAGGTCCCCAGATTCCTGGGCAGGTCCACTTCTGAATTCCAGGGGGTTCCATACATCTCCACTTAGGACTCAAGTCAGAGTGCCCTGTCAGCCACCACCAGGAGGACATCGATACTTTGTCACTCAAGCTTTGGCTCTGTCAGTGAAGTCAGCTGTCCATGGCATTGGTCCACCAATGCACAGAGCCAATGGAGTTGGCTGCTTTCCCATCTGACAGCTGTCTCCCCTGTAGGCTGTTATGCTGGGGTGCTGCAGGCTGGTAGCTCAGGCAGCATGGGAGGCCGCATCTTTTGTATATTTCGAGGTGTCCCAGCATGACAGTGGCCACCACAGCAGCATGAAGGCCTCTTGGGATTCCCCTGTTGCCCTTTTTCCTAAGTACTTGTGTGGGTTTGGCTCCAGTCCCTAGTCCTGCTCTTTCCAGCTCTGACATGGCCTTAACTGCCACTCTGTATTTGGTGACCCCCTGAGAGAGAGGTACCCCTCCACCCTGCTCCCTGAGGCCCAGATTGATAGCTGGAGAACCCATACAGGATCTCATCCAGGAGCTATCCCATCCTGTTAGCCTGTGGCTGGGATTTGATGTAAAGTCCTTCTGTATGGTTCACAGCTTGGGGCGTGGGGCGCCCACAATCTGCATACTCAGTATTAATCAGCCACTGAGTGGCTTTGACCCGAGCAGGTCACTTGCTGGTCCTTCCTATGTCTTCTGTAGAAGGGAGGCTTCGCTTTCTTTATTTTAAAAATGTAATAGCTTTACTTATTCTTAGAGAATGTCATACATGTATAAAATGCATTTTGGTCATATCCATCCTCTGTTTCCCCCTCCAGACTCCCCTGGATCCTTCAGTGCTTCCCTCTCCGGCATTTAACCGACGGAGGTTAATCAGTGCCGCCTGTGTGCGCATGGGTGGCTGGGGGGTGGAGAGCTACTTTGGCTCGCATGAGTTTGTATAGTGGAGGTGAGGGTGGACTTACAGAAGGGGGTGGATTTGAAATACAGTTCAGGTCTGTTTGGGACATGGGCCTTTGTGGGTGGAAGGCAGGGTAGAGCATGTTAAAATAGACAGTGGGCCAGGAGAGGTTCATTTCAGGGCCTTTCTTGGATGCTAGCTGAGCATGAGTGGACAGTACTCACCAGGAGTGTCGGGCAAGCTGGCCTCACCGGGGTCTTGGCACTTTCTGGCCTTCCAGCCTCTTGTGTGTGTGTGTGTGTGTGTGTGTGCGCGCGCGCATGTGTGTGTCCTTTCTCCTTCAGTTATGGCCTAGAACCCTTCCTGTGTGACTGAAAAGCCTTGTGTTGCTGGCCATTTCCTCACTGGTGACTTTGCTTCCTGGAGCCTGAGCTGTCTCCTGTTGGTCCTGCACAGCTCAGTGTGAGCTGTGTCCAGGTGGCAGGCCCTGGGAGATGGATGGGGCACCGAAACATCTTGGCTTTCTGGCTATAGCTAAGATCTGGCCTTGGGTGTGTGGCTTCTGGGCTGTTGGCACGGAGGAAGAGGGTGGAGCACAGGTCAGCGGGCCTTTGCTGATAGGTGACATGTGCTAGACATGTAGGGAGAGAAGGCCGGGGGAGAGAAGGCCGGGAGAAAGGGCTTTTACTGTCCCTCCCCCCCACACCGAGAGAGAGAGAGAGAGAGAGAGAGAGAGAGAGAGAGAGAGAGAGAGAGAGAGAGAGAGAGAAGGGGGGGAATGCGAGCGTGCTTAGGATCCTCTGTAACTTAGAGAGCCCTCCAACTCAGTCCTCCTATCTCAATATCCTGAGTGCTGGATTATAGGTGTGTGTGTGTGTGTGTGTGTATCTAGATGTGGCTGAAGTTCTCCCTTTTATGAAGTGCAAAGTCCCCTGGAAATAGATGGGCCGTGTGATTTGGCTTCCAGGCCTAAGTCCTGACAATACTACCTTGAAAACAAGTGGGACATGTATACCCGACAGCCGCTGAGAGAGGTGTGTGGCTTCTCAGGAAGCAGTTTAGGCATGGAGACAGCATCGCTGTGGGTAGGAAAGCTCACCTGTGGTGAGCCACACCTGTGGTGGGGGTCAGGGTTTGCTGAGGTGTGAGGAACGTGAGGTTGTTCGGTGTGAACACCTTTTGAAGGTGTGGATTGCTGAGGTGTTGGAGAAGGGCTGTGGACAAGACTCCACCTCCACTGGCCTGGTGGGATGTGTGCGTTATTCACAAGGCCTGGCCTACTGTGGGTGGGTCTGCATGGGGCCACCTTGGGAAGGCCAGAGAGGAAGAACCAGCTATAGGAGCCAGAGCTCAAAGAAAAGGGACCATGCTCACCTCTCTTTGAGTTCCTGGGAGTTTAGTCTAGCTTTCTGGGAAGTACCCACTCCCATGCCTTGAGAATTGGAGGGCACAGGGGCTGGAGAACTACAGACATGTCTGCCTGCCTCCCTCAGCTCCCTGCTGACTGTTGCTCGGCTGATCTGCCTGGCCCTGAGACCCCAGCTCAGATCGCGTGCCCCTGCAGAGCTCAGGCATCCTGCTGGATGTGACTCATGCTCAGGGATTAGAATGCAGTAGGGGTGGACAGGCTTAGCATGGTGGGAGTGCAGTGAGGTCTGGATGGCGGTGTGTGCTGTGAGCATCCTAGGGCTTCTGAGAAGGCAGGCTGTGGGGCTGAAGAGGCTGTAGCCACCTGAGAGGATGAGTTTGTGAGGAGGGAAGCTAAGCCTGGACTCAGGTGCCTTGTGAACAAGGGGAAGTTTGTGGAAGTAACTTAGGTTAGAGACAGTGGGATCTGGTCTGAGGGGACTGATGGTCCCTAAATCCAGCAAGGGACTCATCTGTGTCATGCTGCTTTGGGAAGATGGGGTTTATTCACAGGTCCTTGGCCCCTTGTGCTGCTATGCCCATGTCTCCTGGTAGGTCCCTGTTGTTAGAAATATTAAAAAATCAGCACTATCCCATGATATACCCAGCTACTCTGCCCACGATCTCACCGCCTCTAGGCTAGCCCCATGTGGAGACTAATCGTGGTTCTCTTGCTGCGGATTCCGCTCACATTCCCAGCCATCTACCCCTGTGGTCAGCAGTCCTAAGTCCCAGTAACCCTGTAAAATCAAAACTCTAGAAGCTTATAATTAATCAGTCAGATTTATATATCAATAAATTCTCAATTTACAAGATGCCCACACAATTATTTCTGGGCCAATTGATAATGATGCAAGCTGCCCACCTAAATTAGACAAGCTATCCTAATTATCCTATCCCCTTACGATATTCATAGCTACCTGTGGCTATTTAAAGCCACATGGAATTTGGATCATCTTCCTCTTCCTCCATCTTTCTATCTTCCCCCACCCCCATCCTCTTTCCCTATCTCTTCTTTCTCCCCCAAACTTTTCAGCTCCGCCTTCCCTTCCACTGGCCAATCATTGGCTCTAGCCTTTATTTTACAAGTTAAGGTGGGGAGAAGGTTCACAAGAAGTCACCTGTGTGCGTGATTCACTCCTTGTGTGTCAGCAGCCCCTCCTGGGAGAGCGGAAATAGCATCAAAATACAAGCAACATGGGGCTATTCACAACAGGTCTCTCTCTTTATCACGTAGCTCAGGTGTGGGCTCATTTCTTGGCTTTGGCCATCTCCTGCTGTCTTGTGGGGCAGGCTGCGTGGAACGGGCTGTGTGGAACGGGCTGTGTGGAGCAGGCTGCTGCAGGCAGAAGTGGTTTGTGTTTCTTTGTGAACATAACTTCCACATGTACCCCATGAGGTGCAGAGAGAGACCTGAGACCCTGCCCCTCTTTATGTCTCTGAGTGACCACTTCATGTGGCCTCTGGTCTCTCCTTCATCACCTCAGCTCCTTTTGCAAAGGAACAGTCAGAGTTGCACCAAGGTCCTGGGTCCTCCCCACCTTGGGTGTTGCGTATCGTCTTTCCTTGCCATGTGTCTCCCATGGTGTGAACATCAATGTTTTCAGGTCTTGGGTGTTTCATGAATAACAAACCCAGGAATGATCTGGAACATTACTGTTGACTGTGTTTCCCTCAGTATGTTCCAGGAGCATGGATGGCATGTGTGCTTAGCTTAATTGACTTTGGGCAGATGAAGGAATCATTTGGCAGCTGAGGTCATACCCCTGCCCTCTGAGCTTGGTCACTCCTGAATCCAGTGGAAAGTTCAACTCTTGGGAGCCTCAGTTAAACTTGGTCCCCACCACAGTCTGTTGGTAGTGGGCGCATTCTGCTTGTTTTCCCAGCTGTCCTGCCCTACTGAACACCGAGGAAAGCTGCAGGCTGGACACTGGCAGCCGTGGTGGGATCAGGCCTCACGTCCAGCCTGGGCCTCTCTCTCAGTCCCTCTTCAGGTTACTCTTGCTCCCTGAGCTCTGTGCGTGCTTCTCAGGCAGCAGGGGCTTCTTGGACTGTGAGGCCGGCCCAGTGGCTCCTCTGAGCACCCTTCCTGGCCTCTCTACCCAGGTACAAGCTTACTGCAAGAGGTGGTCTACTTGGTGAGCCAGGGCGCCGACCCTGATGAGATTGGCCTGATGAACATTGACGAGCAGCTGCCAGTGCTGGAGTACCCACAGCCCGGGCTGGACATCATCAAGGTACTTGTGGGACTCCCTTCCTTCATAGTTACACCTGCTCGGTAACAGTGGCTTCTCAAGAGGCTCCTGAGGGCTCATGGGACAACTGAGGGCCTCCAGAAAGCTCCAGCTAGCCAAGAGGAAGAGACTGACAGGTCTGAGTTTTTGACTGTGACCCCGGGACCTGTCAGGTACAGATGACTGCTGTCAGCGGCAGGAGGTCTACAGGGTGGAGGGGAAATAAATACATGTGTTTGGTCATGGATTGAGGGAACACAGAGGATGCAGCAGATCCTGGTCCTTTCCTCATCTGTCAAGGGAGTCGGGAAGGACGTATTTGAATAAAACCTTTGGTATCAAGAATGAGATTAGTGGGTTGGAGAGATGGCTCAGCGGTTAAGAGCACTAACTGCTCTTCCAGAGGTCCTGAGTTCAATTCCCAGGAACTACATGGTGGCTCACAACCATCTGTAATGGGATCTGATGCCCTCTTCTGGTGTGTCTGAAGACAGCTACAGTGTACTCATACATAAATAAATCTTTTTTTAAAAAAGAATGAAATTAATTAGGTGTGGTAGCTTCTACCTATTGCCTCAGCACTTAGGTGGCTGAGGCAGGAGAATAGCATGAATTTGAGGCCAGCCTGGACTGCGTGATGAGATCCTGTCTCAACAGTAAGAAGGATTGTGCATTCTGTCCCTTAGAGGTATCTGTACCTTTCTTTCCACTTCATCCCCCACTACCTCTGTAGTTCAGGCTTCACAGCCCTTAACTCTCTCTCCTACCTAGATAAGCATTGTGGGATACATCTCTGAGAGCCCCACTCCACATGTCCTGGTAACAGATGCCTCCTGTTCTTGGTGAGCTTGTTCCTGACTGGAGATGTTCCTCCAGTCTGTAGTCTGTGCTGGTCTCATTGACTCCTCCCTAGGAAACACTGGGAGTGTGGGGTGCCTCTTCTCTAAGTGCCCCACGTGTGGGTGCTGCTCCTGCATCAGGGGCGGTCGTCAGCTGACAGTTCCCACCTCGTAGGACAGGAAGTCGTGATGGCTACAGAGCTGGGGACAGTGCACCAGGAGGCAGCAGACATCTAAAGAACATCCAGAAGGAAGAGAGGGACAGACCGCACCAAGACTCAGGGTCCAAGGGGAGGCTAACAGGATGAGGGCCTCTGTGCAGAGGGCTGAGAGAGCCAAAGCTGCTGCCCATGATCCCCTGGGCTGCTGCGAGGTCAGAGTTGAGGATAGCTGGCTTCTTTAAAGCTGGACATCTTCATATTCTTATGGGCACTATTTTATGCCTGTGTTTCGTGTTTCCCCTGCCCCACAGACCCTTCCTCATTCTCAGCCACTCAAATCCAACCCCTCTGGTCATAAGGGATCGATCCCTCAGGCTGGGGACAGGGATTCTCATTATAACTCTCAGCCAGGTGTGTACCGTGTCCAGATGGCTCAGGCGGGTAGTTGGCTAGAGCATGTATTAAGTCCTGTTTGGTCAGGATCCTCCCAGACCTGTTAGAAAGGCCCTGGGAGGAGAAGAGAAGTGCGTGCGTGCGTGCGTGCGTGCGTGCATGCTTGCTTATGCACATGCATGTGTACACACATACATGAATATAACTGCCACACATCTTCCCACAGGAACTGACGTCTCCCCGCCTCATCAAGAGCCACCTCCCCTACCGCTTCCTGCCCTCTGACCTCCACAACGGAGACTCCAAGGTAACCTACCTCCCCTCTCTCATCCTCCACTTCCTCATTAAGAACCCTAGGCCTCTAAAACTCCTCCAGGTGGCACTCACTATCCCTGGCCCAGGGTCCCTCTTGGATCATGTGTGCAGTGCTTTCTCCATGCTTACTAGGTCGCAGTGGGTGTTCTCTCACGGTTGAACATTGGAGGATGGAGTTCACTGTGTTCCCTGTTCTTAACTCTGTCCTCAGTTACAAAGTTCCCAGGCATCTGTCTTCTACAGATGACGGTAGTACCCTGATAAAGCACTGCAGTGAAACAGTCACGTGCTCACCCGGTATGCTCAGCCCATGGGCCAGAGCCCATCAGTGCCTGGAATGAGCAATGGTAGCCCATCTTCCTGCCTCCCACAGGTCATCTACATGGCTCGCAACCCCAAGGACCTGGTGGTCTCTTACTATCAGTTCCACCGCTCGCTGCGGACCATGAGCTACCGAGGCACCTTCCAGGAGTTCTGTCGGAGATTCATGAACGACAAATGTAAGTGCCACAGGGTGTGTGTGCTCTGTCCTATAACTGCCAGCCAGTGCTGGGCCTTCCTGGGAAGCCCTGCCTGTAATGGTACCTCACCTGCCACTGTGCAGATGGGGCTTGAGTTATCGCCAAACGGAGGAGGCGCTGAGGCTGGGGAGCTGTGGCTCTTAGAGGTGGTACAGATCCTGGGACTTCTGAGTTCTGCTCCCCACCACCTTGTGGGTTTTCCAGTTACACGTCTGTCCTCCCTGCCTTTTAGTGAGGTGAGAATGACAACTGTGAACTCAGAGGCCCGGAGCTGTACGCTGTGAATGGTTGAGACCAGCGTGAAGGCCCCCACTGGGTGTGAATCATCACGTGGGCTGGACTTCAGGGGCTGGGAGTGATACAGAGCAGGGTGTACAGGATGTATACTTCCTGTTGGCTCCTTTCTGTTGAGGTAGAGGGAGCAGGGCTTTTTCACCCCACCCCACCTCACTCATCTTCTAGGAAATCAAGGCGCATAGGAGGAAGCAGCCCTGTCCCCATCTCTGTCTTCATCTTCACCCTGCAGTTCATCTATCTCCTTGGAACTACTGTATCAATTCCTCTTTGGCTCTGTTCCCACCACTCCCCCCAAGTTCCCCCCACGCTCCTGTGGGTCTTGTGGCTGGCAAGGAACAGTGTAGTGTGCACCCAGTCATGAGGAAGGGGTTACATCACAGGTTCGTTAGTCCACACTGAGACTGTCCTCTCCCTGAGTCTGAAAACACGTTAACTGTTCGGTGTGGCTCATCAGGGGTCCTGCAGGGAGGTTGTGAGTCAAGGTGACAAGAGAGTGTGTAACAGTGAAGCCTCACGTGCTGTAGGCCTCAGGGCAACCTCCAGGAGCTGCCTACACAGGTTGGGGTGCAGACACCCTGTAGAGTGGACTGCAGCAGGCACGCTGGGCTGCCTGCAATTGGAAAACCACAGGGACCCAGAGGGTTTCCTTCTGTTAAACATGGCTTCAGCCATTCCCAGAGCTGGTGTCCTATTCCCATCTGTGGTGGGAAACTGCAGCACCTGTTGCCCAGGGTCCCTGAGCCTGCCGCAGGCTCCCACCCAACTTCTTTCCCTGTGCACTATTGGGATGTCCCAAGCAGTCTCGCAGGTGTTTGAACAGCCCTCTCCTGGTTCATGGCATCAGACTTTCTAGTCTTAGTGCCCGTTCTGGCCTCATAGGTGCCCAGGAATAGCACCATGGTGACAGCAAGAGTCTGCTACAATCAGCTTCTGTACTCTCAGCCAGTGGTGTTAAATGTCTCCTGACCCAGGCTTCCCTGTTCAGTGCAAAGCCGCAGGTTCAAGGCTATGCACTCTGGCCTGTATCCTACTCAAAGCATCTGACATGGGTACTCACTTGCCCAGCTTCGCTCTTAGCCTCTCAGTGACCACAACATGCTGACCTTTTTCCCGTGTCCAAAGCTCAAAAGAAAATGACAGCTAAGAGAAGAAGCATTAAAACGTTATTTCCTGGTCAGGATGGTGGCTCAGGGCCATAATCCCAGCTGCTCAGGGACTAAGGCAGGAGATGTGCAGGCTCAAGGCCAGCCTGAGTTACAGAGGGAATTCAAGGGTAGCCTGGTCAATTTAATGAGACCTTGACTCAAAATGAAAGGTAGTGAGAAGGCTGGAGATATAGGCGTGCTTGCCTGGCATGGCTGGCCCTGGGTTTGATGTCTCCAGTATAGGACAGAGTAGAGGACAGAGCAGGCACTATGAGGAAGGTCTGCATGAGCATGTTGGTGGCCCAAGACTCCAGAGCTGGGGATAAGGGATGTCCAGGTCAAGTGGCATGCCTGTGGAACCTCTTTGGGCAGGGTCAGTTGGACAGTACGGTGCACTCTCTGGACAGTCTTCCTTTGACAGAAGCACATGGCGGACAGTCTGTGGACATGGTCACTTCACAGATGCTGTGTTGGCAGTGGTCTGTGGATAGACACTGACTTTGTGTACTGTGGGAAGTATTCCAGAGGTGACCTCTTCCTGGGTTGGGACAGTGTTGAGCTATAACATCCTGCAGGCCTTGGGTAAGTGGCTTCATGGTTTTAGTATAGAGAGGTGTGGAGAGAAACAGAGTTGTGGCAGGGCCCCTTCTCTCGAGGCCCAGCTCCCACTAGCATGTGTGTATCTCTTTGCTCTATGGCCGCAAGTACAGAGGGAATGGGGTGTCCCTGATCTCCCTGGTAGCAGTCAACAAGGTTTTCTTCTTCTTCTTCTTCTTTTAAAGATTTTATTTATGTATATGAGCACACTGTAGCAGTCTTCAGACACACCAGAAAGAGGGCATCAGATCCCATTACAGATGGTTGTGAGCCACCATGTGGTTGCTGGGAATTGAACTCAGGACCTCTGGAAGAGCAGTCAGTGCTCCTAACCACTGAGCCATCTCTCCAGCCCTTGGTTCATGGTCCTGGCTGGCCTTTCTTGTGCAGCATCTTGTCACCAATGTGGTCCAGGCCATCCGGAAGCCCTGTGCCTTGTCTAGGAGTGGGGAGAGTTTCCCCTTTCTTTACTAGGCCACTTGCCTTCCTCCTGTCCCAGGATCTCGTCTGCTTGGCCTGAGTTCCATGGATCCAGACCACATGGAAGCAGACAAGGGCCCAGGCTCCCATGGCAGCTGATCCCTGTGACCTGGCCTGGCCCTGCCCTTTCCTGAGACTTAGCTCTGTAAAATGAATAGATGTGCTAAGTGGGCTTTGCAGAGGTCAACCAGGTGTGTCTGAGTAGGGTGTGACAGGCAGGGCCACTGTGCCCCAGTACAACTCCTTACCCAGGGTGCTTGCAGGTGGCCATTTATGCCTCTGCATCTTCCTGCTGCTCAGCAGGGTTTGAGTACCACTTCTGTCTAGTATCTCACAGAGCCTCCTCTGGGATCCCCCATGGCAGCATGGCATCATGGCCATCAAAGGGCTGCACAGTTCGGCCAAAGAGATGGGGGCACTATGGGACTTGCCCCTAGGAATGCTGTGACATAGCTTGCAGACTGGGCCAAGTCCTCTTATACATGCCAAATGCCTAGCCCAGACCCGAGGTGCCGTGGCAAGGGGAGGCCACGCTGTGGGACATCATGCCTGTGTGTCAGCGCAGCATTCCCACCTGTCTTTAATTGCAGGTTTCTCTGAGAATGCCTGGTGTCAACCAGAGGTCATGGGGTGGGGCCTTGTTTTGGAACTATCTCAGAGCTTCACACATCCCAGCCTACTCCACCTGCCCCTTTGTTCTGATTTCTCTGAACATTGTTTTCTCTCATTGGCATTAGCCTATGTACCATGTCCTCAGATCTTCAGAGCGTTCTCTGCCATGTCAGGTTACCAGGGCATCTTTACTTGGGATGGGTAGGGGTGAAGAGTGTTGACAGGAGCAGGAGGGCATAGGACCTTTAATGGTTTCTTCCTTCTAGGAGACCCCGTAGTTTCCTTCCCAGCAGCTGGGCAGGAGCAGGGCATCCTGTGGGGGCAAGAATGCCCGCACAGTTTCCCTTCCCAGCTGTGCCCCTTTCCCTGTTTCCACAGTGGGCTATGGCTCCTGGTTTGAGCACGTTCAGGAATTCTGGGAACATCGAATGGATGCCAATGTGCTTTTCCTCAAGTATGAAGACATGCACCGGGTGAGTAGTTGGGGGTCGGTACTCTGTCCACCTTGCTCAGAGACGCTGTCCACGGTGCTGGAGCTGTCCGTGGTGCTGGTGCTGCTCAGGCTTCTGGTGTCAGCACCAAGTGGAAGCATCAGAGGGATCTACACAGTTCCTTCCATGTCCAGGGATGCAGGTGGGCATACGTCCCTGGTCCAGCACATGGCCTCTGTTGGGTCAGGCTGGGTTCCAGTGATGTCAAGGAAAGCCTGTTTCTTGACTTTACTGTCTTAGCAACAGGAACAAGACTTTGGCCATTCTCATTTGCTGTCTCAATGCCATCACCTTGGTGATTGTGTGAGGCAGTATGCTGGGGTAGTTAAGTCCCTCTGCCTTCTGTGTCAGCTTTTGGGATGCTTGTGACCTTGTGTGTTGGCCTGTGGCACTTCCTCCGTGTCTCTCCTTGGTGCTCAGGGAGGAAGGTTGCTATTGGTTATTATTGGTATGCCGGGGTAGTTAAGTCCCTTTGCCTTCTGTGTCAGCTTTTGGGATGCTTGTGACCTTGTGTGTTGGCCTGTGGCGCCCCCTCCATGTCTCTCCTTGGTGCTCAGGGAGGAAGGTTACTATTGGTTAGTGTGGATGTGAAGTCTTACTCTGTGCAGGTTCTGCTGGGTTTGGCTGTAGTGGGGAGCACTTGGTATGTGAGCATTTTGGGTGTCTTGGTAGCTGCATTGTCTTCTCTCTCTCTCTCTCTCTCTCTCTCTCTCTCTCTCTCTCTCTCTGTCTTTGGAGGTAGAATTTCTCTGTGTAGTCCTGGCTGTTGTGAAACTAACTCTGTAGACCAGTCTGTCCTCAAATTCAGAGATCTGCCTGCTTCCACCTCCTGAGAGCTGGGACTAAAGTTGTGTGCTACCATCTCCCAGTGATTTCTTTCTTAAAACAGGCCGAGAGCAAACCTGGCCTTGACTTCTCTCCCTCTCAGTAGCCTACCCTTCCTTCCTCTCCTGTCTGAGGCCTCTCGTTGCCCTGGCCCCACAACCCTCAAGCTGCTCTGTCATGGTCTGCAGTGATTCACTACTTCATACAGCAGGTAATGGTTCCTGGGTTCCTATAACCCAGCCTTCTAATGATACTTGACATGACCCCCCCCTTCCTCATTTGGCTGCCAAGATACCACCCTCATCTCCCATGATCCCCTTCTCTCAGATTTAATTGATTGATTGATTGATTGATTTTGCCTGCGTGTATGTATGTGCACCACGTGTCTGCTGGTGCCCGAACAGGTCAGAAGAAGGTATTGGATCTGGAGTTAGGAATGGTTGCGAGCCACTATGTTTATGTTGGAAACCACACTTGGGTCCTCTGCAAGAACACCAAGTGCTTTTAACTGCTGAGCCACCTCTCTAGCTCCACGTCTTGCTTTGCTTGCTGTTTTCCCATCTCCTGACTGAAGATACTTGCATGCCACAGGCCTCAGCCCTGGCCTTAACTTTTCATCTTTTCTTCTGTTCACTTCCTGTGGTTTCATTCCTTTGCCATGTTTGGAGCCCTGCTGTCACTGTACACACAGCTGGCCGTGGGTGTCCCAAGACACACGTCTGTGTGGGTGTCCAAGGGAGATGGAGGACCTGATGCACCCAGACCAGCCTCTTCCCTCATCTCAGTTCATGGCAGGCCGCTCTCCCTTCCAGGATTGCTCAGGCAGAATTCTGTATTTGTCCTAGTGTCTGTTTCGCACTGTATGTCTGTGCCCCAAGTCCTGCTGGCTCTGTCCTTAAATCCTCACACTTACACAACCAGTTGCACCCAGCTCTGCCTGTCTGTCTGTCCATGGCTGCCTCTCTCCATCCTGTTACTGAGTTATAATCTGAGCCTTTGCACCTGGCTTCCTCCCCGGCCTCTCTACCAAGTTCTCTCATCACAGTGGCTGTGCCTCTTGGTCTAAAAATTCATCATAGTTTATCTTGTCACAGCCCATGTGGCTGTGGGTGAATGTCCCAATTCCTGGATACCTTAACCTCCCTGACTGCCTTGTTACTGCTTAAACCTGTCCCCAGCTTCTGTTTCAGGCTCGTGCATTCGCTCTTGCCATCCAGAATGTTCTTCAGATATCTATGTGGTTTGCCCCCTCACCTCTGTCTCATAGGCCCACTTTGTCAGCAGGCCCCTCACCCTCTTGTGTGTGTGTGTTCATGTGTTCACATCAATTGCTGACAGGTTTCAGACTCTCAGCTACTGCTTTCAGAGTGAGACACCTACCCCCTTTCCACAGGAAGACTGAAGTGCCGAGTGTCAGAAAGCCTGTGCAGACCTCTTGCTGGAAAAGGCTAAGGGTACACAGGTCTGGGCTGCAGAGAGCCAGGTTCAAGTGTCCTCTTGAGGGTCTGAACCAGGGCCGACCAGGGCCAAGTCATGCTGCCCACTGTGTCAGGGGGGAATGGGATGGTTAATGAGAGGGGCTTGAGCAGAGGTCAAAGAGACCGGAGATGTGTTAGAGCGAGTGTGGCAGCCTGTGTGGACTTCCACATGACCTTGGAAATCTGATTGTGAATGTGTTGAAGGCACAGGGTGGAGGTAAGAGGCTTATGAAGGGATCTGGGTGACGATGGCTCCTGAGCACCAGGAAGGGCTGAGTAGAGGCTGTGGTGATATGGTGTCCACCGTATCTCCTAATCTGCCATCCTGGATGTCCTCTCTGCAGTGACTCTAGGCTGGGTGTATGCACCGGGGGCCCATGGGTACCAGGAAACATGCTGTAGGGGAAGTAGAGGGAAGGCTTGTGCTATGGGGTGCTGCCCACCTGGTGGGACCTAGCCATCCTGCTGGGAAAGCTGCAGGGGATGCAGTGGGCACCAGGCTGATAGCCTTACTAACTACTGCTGGTGGTGGAGAATCCCAAGGTATCGAGGCCTGACCTTTAACCCCACAGCCAAGGGAAGATTCCTGATAGCCTGGATGCCCACGTTTGCAGAGAATCACAGGGGGATGGCTGTATTTCAGAGGATTCTGTCTATAGTCTGTGATTTGTTGATTCTGACTCTGAGGTGGGGAAGGAACATGCTTCATAGGTCAGTTACTCCCGTGGAGAGCAGGAAGCCAAGAAGGGCCAGAGGTTGGGGGACTCTTTTCAAAGGCCCACCCCTAGTGACTGCTTCTTCCAGCTAGGCCAGGCCTCCTAAGGATTCTGCTGTTTCCACAAACACTACCCCAGCTTGGGACCAGGCATGAGCATCTGGCTTTACGTGGGGCATTTTAGTTAGACACATGGCTACTGTCTGATTTTTAAAAAATCATTTAATTACGCATATGTGTGTGGGTTTGTGCATATGAGTGCAGGTGCCCATAGAGGTCAGAAGAGGGTGTCAGATCCCCCTGAATCTAGAGTGGCAGGCAGTTGTGAATGAATGTCACACATGGGTACTGGGACCTGAACTCCAGTCCCCTGGGTGAGAAGTGTGTATGCTTGATAGCTGAACCATCTCTCCAGTCTCTGCCTCCTACTTTTTAGGGTCCATCATCATTACCCCAGAGGTGTAGCTAATAACAGGAGTGCCCTGAGGGGAGATACTCACCTATAGCCAGTCACTGAAGGCATTGCTTTAGTGTCTAATCAACGTTTAGTGATCTTTCCAGAAACCTCACCTGTAGCTACTGAGGTGTTTGATGGAAGGAGGGTGGGAGGGTAAGATTACTTTGTTTGAGACAGAGTTTCTCTGTGTAGTCCTAGGTATTCTGGAACTCACACTTTAGACCAGGCTGGCCTCAAACTCAGAGATCTGCCTGCCTCTGCCTCCGGAGTATGGGGATTAAAGGTGCGCCATCATGCCCTGCCTGAGATTACATTTTTTTTTAATTTTAAATTTTTTATTTTATGTGTATGAGTGTTTTGACTGCATGTATGTCTGTGTACCACATGGATATAGTATCCACAGAGGCCAAAAGAGGGTTTTGGATTCCCTGGGACTGGAGTTATATAGGCAGTTATGATCTACCATATGGGTGATGGAAATTGAACCTGGGTCCTCTGGAAGAGCAGAAAACTCTCTTAACCACTGAGCCATCCCTCTAGCCTCTAAAATTACATCTTTTAGGAACTTAAGTTCTCATCTTACTGTAGAAAAACTATCCATGAGAGGGCATCTGCAGTTTCCAGTTGTGGAACAGGTGGGCATGTTTTTGTCTTGGCATTACAGGCAGAGCTGGGTGCTCCCCATGGATCTACTGTGTGTGTGTGTGTGTGTGTGTGTGTGTGTGTGTGTGTGTGTGTTTGTGTATACGTGTATGCTACATGACAACGTTAGTTCCTCTGTTTCTGCCTCTTGTCCTCTGTGACGCATGCCAGGATGGCTTGCCAGTGACCTTGCTGGGATTCTCCTCTCTGCTTTCCGTCTCCCTGTTAGGAGCACTGGCATTGTAGATGTATGCATCCGCACCCAGCTTTAATCAGATTCTGGGGATTTGAACTCAGGTCTTCACACTTGTGTAGCAAATGCTTTCCTCTCTGGGCTACCCCCCACCTCCCAGCCCTCACCTCCCCTTTAGCGCCTCAGCTGCCTCAGTGCTGGCAGTCCTGTCTTGGAGGCCGGTGCCCCAATTAAGGTCCCCCTTGACCCCCACAGTCAACCTGAGAGGTAGTCTGTCACTAGTGAGGTTCCCTGATAATGACAGGTGGCTGGCCAGCACTCCTGTCCCTGATTGTGGATGGAAGGTGCACCTCAGATGAGTAAGGAGTACAGTTAAGTTTGGCTTGGTAACCATCCAGCAGTTTTCCTTAACATGTGTCCAGATGCAGAACCAGTACATCCTCCAAGAAGGGTGTTGCATGGATGCCAAGCTGCCTGGAGCATCCTAGCCATCTGGTTATTTGCTGCAGCCCTTTCCTTGGGCAGTTTTTTCCCGAGGTCCGGTTTTATTTCCCCCTTGTTCTTTTTTCTTTTAAATGCCAGATGTGGGTTCTTCTTATTTACTTCGTGTTTGCTCTGACGTCTGTTGTTCACGTAGCCCGTTGTGCCATTCCTGTGCATGGGACCTTGAATGGCTATGTGCCTCCCTGCCCACAGGAAACAGAGAAGATAGGAGTGGGGACACCGGGATCAAGGCTGCTGGGTAGGTGCTGTGGGAATCCATGGAGGAGCAGATCCTTCTACCACAGCCTGTTGAAGTTAAAAAGCATCAGTTAACCAGTGTGTGCTGTGACCTTGCACAGCTTTAGGGACCAACCTAACTGGTGTGATGGGGAATGAAGAAATGACAGACAGACAGACAGACAGACAAGCTGGGGTCAGGTGGGAGATGTACTCTGATGGTGCTGCACAAGCAGCCACAAGGAAACTCACTGGGTTTATTGTATACAGCCTCACAACCAGACAGGCTTAGCTGATCTTGGTGGGGGTCTCTGTAGGGATGCAGTATCAGGACATAGACATCCAGGAGGAGGGAGGAAGAAGGGTATGTCAGCATCCTCACATGCACCCAGGGAAGGCTTTGCAGTTCCCATGGGTCTGAGGCATGGGGTTCCTTGGTGCATCTGTGCTTGTGTTACCACACATTCAGTCAGAGCTTCCTTTACTCCTGATGCCACCATGTCTAACTGGAACTGGCCTGAGGCTTTAGGTGATGGTTTCCAAGCAACATCCAGCATTTTCCTAATGTTTGGACAAGCCAGCTACAGGTGGGGTTTTGGGGACTTGGGAGGGACAGGAAGTTCCTCAGGACTTCCCGGGGAGAGCATGACTGCTGTGAGAGATGGTGTCCCTGCTCCAGCTGTATCCTGACTTCAGCTGTGGCGTTGTGGGGCCTGTAAGTGGTTCTTTGTCCAGTGTGCCACTTTGTAGGACTGATTTTCCTCTGTCCACTTTCCTGTAGCTGGGGCACGGGTCACCGGGGCACCTGTGGGTGCAGAGGATTCCAGAAGCTGGGTAGTAACTAGATCTTGCCAGTGATGGGATATTCTTTATTGCTGTTTATAAATGAGCCACAACTCTCAAAATCTTTTATGTGCATCCCCCGGCTCCCTCCTCTTCCCAGAGCCATGGGTTCAAATCCCAGACTTGCAGGTTTCCCAGTGGGCATCAGCATCTTACCCTCCTGGCTGATTTCCAGACTTGCCTGTGCTCTGAGGAATAAAGCCAGTCAGCCCTGTGTCCTGGATGCTGGCTCTGAAGGGCTGCTCTGCTCTCTGTCCTTGTCTTCCAGGACCTGGTGACCATGGTGGAGCAGCTGGCCAGATTCCTGGGTGTGTCCTGTGATAAGGCCCAGCTGGAGTCCCTGATTGAGCACTGCCACCAGCTGGTGGACCAGTGCTGCAATGCTGAGGCCCTGCCTGTGGGCCGGGGTATGTGTCTTCTCCCTCCTCCCTGCTTGGAACCTTCTGGATTTCTAATTTCTCTCTTGGTAGCAGCACTTGCTGGCTGGCCAATGCCTATTGAAGGCATGGTGCTCCGGGAATAGGGCATGCTCTGCCCGCCTGCCACGTGGTGCTGCAGTTCAACGGGGCAGCAGCTGCTGGGGCTGGCTCAGGCACTGGACAAGGTGTGTTTATGCAGAGCCATTCCCACAGAGGAGACCTAAGGCAGGGCTGTGGTGCCAAGGTGTTTTGCAATATAGGGTAGGTTACTGACTTAGCAGCCTTCCCTTCTAGTGGTTGTGAGTTGTGACCTGTGGTGGATTGGAAGATGGATCCCATGTGAGGAGATGGCCTCTTCCCTTCCCAACCCGGAGGATGCTGACCAAGGGAGGGGCTTCTGGGTTTGAGTGGAACGTATGACAAATGACTAAGCCTAAGGGCAGCCAGGCATGGATACTCAGAGCCAGATGGTAGCAGGAACAGTTGGTGGACAGGCAGACTTTGGGGGTGATATTCCAGACAGGAGTCCTCCCAGGGCCACTGAGTTAGTTTCTCAGCTCTTTAGGGCATGTGTTAGCTGCTGCCCAGTGGGGCAGCTTAGGTACTGAAGTCCTGGGATGTCTCAGAGCAGTGGCCATTCCCACAAGTCCACTCTAGGTAAGTATGGTCTAGGATTGCAGCCAGCTGTCAGCAGTGTGAACTGGACACTTCTAGAGGGTGAGAAGCTGTGAATGGAGATCTTAGGACTCTGGGTGCTACCCGAGGTGGAGAGAGATGCTGGGCTCTGATTGCAGCCTGGCTGCCTCCAGGTATGTACCGCTATCAGCCCTGGATCAGCTATAGCTTCTAGGCATTCCTGTAAGTTCCAGTTGCTAGGGGCCAAAGGCAGTGGCTAAGGGCCACAGGCATTTGCTAGGGGTCAGAGGCAGGGGCTAGTGGTCAAAGGCAGTTGCTAGGGGCCACAGGCAGTTGTTAGTGGTCAAAGGCAGTTGCTAGGGACCACAGGCAGTTGCTAGGGGCCACAGGCAGTTGTTAGTGGTCAAAGGCAGTTGCTAGGGACCACAGGCAGTTGCTAGGGGTCAAAGGCAGTTGCTAGGGGCCACAGGCAGTTGCTAGTGGTCAAAGGCAGTTGCTAGTGGTCAAAGGCAGTTGCTAGGGACCACAGGCAGTTGCTAGGGGTCAAAGGCAGTTGCTAGGGCCCATAGGCAGTTGCTAGGGGCCACAGGCATTTGCTAGGGGTCAGAGGCAGTGGCTAGGGGCCACAGGCAGTTGCTAGGGGTCAGAGGCAGTTGCTAGAGACCACAGGCAGTTGCTAGGGGCCACAGGCAGTTGCTAGAGCCCACAGGCAGTTGCTAGGGGCCACAGGCAGTTGCTAGGGGCGAAGTGCACTGGGCCTTGCTGGAGAAGGATGAACTCTGCCCCTCCAGAGAGCTGCTCACCAAACCACATCCCTTGTCCCGTGGCTGCATCTTCACAAGCATTTATTATTTTATTTGCAATTCTTTGGTTTTGCTTTCACCATATTCTGTTAACCCCTTCTGGGACTGCCTCCTCAGCCCCCTTTTGTTTGCACGTGGTGAGTGTGTGGTTTGTGTATTGCTCACCAGTCATGTGTGCTCCGCTGGGCACCCACATACTCCTTCAGAGGCGTTTGCTCTGTCGCTGTGGGCCTTGGTTTTGGTTTATTTCAGTTCTGTGGTTTTGTTTTCTTTTAGCACATTGCCTCTTTACTCAGAAGATCGCCTTGAGGTGGCGAGGATGCAGGGGCTCGGGGAGCCGGCTGCATTGCTTAAATTTGGTTCATGTCACAGCATAAATTGTCTTGATTCCAAATCCTACACCAGGTGGGTGACTCCTCTGACAAGCTCTCAGCTGGGAAAAAAAATAATCATGGAAAAATATATTTATAGTGTGATTGGTCTAGAAGCTTCTAATTTGGTCCCTTTGGTATCATTAGAGGGTGACAAGAAGAATTTTATTTTACTTTTCCAACACTGACAGATGATGTCTCATTAGCAAAGAGAGAGTCCTGGTGTGTCAGTTGTTTTAGCTCAGCTACTGGAGGGCTGTGGCTGCAGACCTGAAGTCCTGCTGGGATAGATTCGATGCAGGGCTATCCGTTAGAGATGACAGAGTTCTGACTTTAGAGCTTCCCCCTCCCCCAAACCCCATGCGTATAAAAGCACAAAGCCAGCCCACAAACTGTTTACCACTCCCATGGATGGGAGGTTTGGAATATAAACTCCTAATATCTCTCTCTCTCTCTCTCCCTCTCCCCCCCCAACACACACACACACACACACACACACACACACACACACACACTCACATACACACTCCCCTACCCTCCCACCCCTCACCTCCAGCTCTAGACAGCCCAGGACAGCAGCTGGGGCTATGGAGAGACTCACTCATTCTTTTGAGTGACGCGTTTTGTATCCAGCCTGGAAAGCCAGTTTATGCCGTGGGTATTTCATTCATTTAAGCCCTCCCCAACTTATTTTTAATTCAGGCTTCTAGAAATCTCCACCCTCAATGCTTTCAGGAGAGCTTCCTGTTGGCCCTTGGGATGATTTTTTTTTTAACTTTTGCAAATTCTCCAGAGGCAACTGATACACCAACAGCAGTTGGTCAAGCACTCCTCAGAGCATGGACTTAGCCCACAGTACTTTCTCTCTGGCAGGTTCATGGCAGAAACACCTGCCGTGGTAGGTTCTGGGAGCTAACCTGGAACAAGAAGTGAAGTCCCTCTCAGATCACAGGTGTGGATCTGTGTGATGCCTGGGGTGTAGTTGACACCAGACTTAGGGCAGTTGGTTCCGTTGAGTCTCGCCACAAGCAAGACTGGTCTAGCTCAGGTGGTTCATCCCACCCGGCAGGCCAAGTTCAGACGGGTCTGGCCATTCCTGAGGCTGCCTTTCCTTCTGAAACTGGTGGATACAGCCAGCTCTACTCTGGTCTGTGTTGCAGGAAGAGTCGGGCTGTGGAAGGACATCTTCACTGTCTCCATGAACGAGAAGTTTGATCTAGTGTATAAACAGAAGATGGGGAAGTGTGACCTCACGTTTGACTTTTATTTATAATACCGGAATCCGCGAACTTGCATGCTCACGGTCCCCAGACGCTCTACTAGCTAAAAGTCCTGTTTGCGTTCATTTATTCCTTGCTGGACACACTTCCGGAAGCTGCTTGGAAACAGCAGGGGGCGAGCCTGGTGGAGAGAGCCGAAGAGTAAGAGGATGCTGTCTACAGCAGCTGCCTGGCGTGTAGCGTTTGAGTCTCCACATGGTGGCCATACCACACACACAGGCAGGCAAATGTCTGCCCTGTACCCCGACTTATTCACTGTATTTTATAGTGCTTTTCACTGAAAATCAAAATAAATATCTGTCAACCAAATGCAAGTCCATTTCCAAGGGGGAGCAGGAGCTGTGCCGGGATGCTAGGAAGCTCTCAGGGGTCACTGTAACTTTTACAGTCTTTTCTCTAGGCACAGCTATCCTACCTTGTTCTGAGATCAAAGAATGAGTTGGGGGGAGCTGGCAAGGCGGGCATGTGTAGCCTGTGGGGTTCAGTCTTCTGGAACCATCCTGATGCCAAGCCAGGACCTGACCCAGAAACACCTCTATGCAGGCAGCTCTCTGAACACAGTGCAGAAGAGCCCAAGGAATGTTCCGGCAGGGAAGCTGGCCTGAGGCTGCGGATGGCATCTGAAGGCATTGGTAGTGTGTGAAGAGTCCCCACAGATACCAGGCTGCACCAAGAATCAGTGTCTTTCACAGCCTTCAGTTGCTCCCCAAGGCAGTGACTGACACACTCCTGCTGGCAAGAGAGACAACGAAGCATGGTTCTAAAGTCCCTAGTCACTGTCCCCATCTGCTCCTCCTGTGCCAAGGCTGTCACTCAGGAGACCCAGTCTGCAGGTTGACTGTCCTCCATGCAGATAGGATTGGCAAGCCCACCTGTGTGAGTGGGCACCTTAGCCCTCAAGAGTGTCTGAGGGAGCCATGATCCTGTATTCTACCCACCCCCACACCTACCGGCTCGAATTTGGCTCAAGTGATGACCAGATGAGCAGTGGACCAGGAGATGGCTGCTTGTGGGGACCAACTTGTTCTGTTCCTTGCCGGGTTTGGAAGAGTCTTAACGTGGTGGTGGAAGGCTCTGGCTGTGGAAGGGGCCTGCCGTGGGCCAGCTCTGAAGCAGGTCTAGTGGAGTTACCTCTGTCCAGAGAGAAGCTTGTGTGGGTCTGGTGCATGGTTCTCTGGGGTGGGCATGACAGCGCCTTTCCTGTTGTGTCTGGGGAGGAAGGCTGCTTTCTGTGAAATTTTCTTTCTATTTTTCTATTTTTAGTACTGTACGGATGTTCTGGAACCACACATGGTACTCTGTGCTTGCTTGCATCTTTAATAAAAGACACCTCCCCTGTTGGTGTGTTTTGTCTGTGTGCTGGGTAGAGAAGGGTCCCTGAGCGTTCTCCCCAAAGGATTATGAGCCCCATTCCTGCCCTGTCCCCTGGGAGTGGCTACAGTGGGAAAGAGCCTGGAGTGGGTTCTAATGAGGCAGAATTTGGTTGTTTTGCCCCCATGCAAACTTCAGTGAGTTGAAGCCTATGTACTGCTTCAATGACCTTTGACCCGGAAGTGAAAGGAAGGATGAGAGATTCTGGTGTTCCTGTGGATCTACCCCTGCAGTCTGTCTGCCTTTGACTCCAGCCTAGGGCATGGTGGGATGGAAACTGATCAAGTCCTTCCTGGCCATCTCCAGTCCTATGGGAGTGAAGTCTGGGTACCGTTTCCTCTGTAGAGAGGGACAGCCTTGGGTGAATGCAAACTCTGGATAGTCATATTTGTGTCCTCATGCTGTGCCTAGAAGGATCTGCCCTTAAGTCATTTCCAAACTGGACACACACTAGGAAGCGCAGAGGAAGCAGGGTGATGGAGTCCTTTGCCTGCTTCACCTATAACCCCTCAGCTTACACAGGACCTCAGTGCTACTGTGGCATCATGCTCGCCAGCAAGAAGACCCAGCCTTCCAGAGCTTTAGTTCCAGCCAGGGATGAGTCAAGGAGACTTAGGGTTAGTGCAGGATCAGGAGTGATGTCATGGGGCCATTGAGATCAAGCTAGCTCAGTGGGTAGAGCCCGTGCTGTACTAAAAGGACTGGTGTTTAGCTCCTCAGCTGTCCGTGAATGCAGCCACCCGTTATCCCAGCACTTGGGAGGTAGGGACAGGATTCACAGAACAAGCTAGACCAGCCTGTATTGGTGAGCTTTAGGCTGAATGAGAGACTGCCTTTATAATGTGACGAGCAAGCAAAGAGAATACTTGCTGTCAACCACCTGCCTCCATGTACACCCATGCACTCACATGCATATGTGTGTAAACATGTATGTACACCACACACATCCCCTAACCTCCCAAAAGACAGATGTTGCAGCCATTGAGTTCACACAGAGGACTTGGGCTTAGGAGATTGTGGGAGAGCAGGCCTGGCAAGCTCCAGCGCGCCCTGCACAGGGGCTGTAAGGAGGTTAGCCAGGCATCTGCTCACGGAGTGCCCCCTAGAACCTGAGAGCTCAGGGACGCCCCAGAAGGTTTAATCAGGAGGATGTTACCTGGTTAGTGTTTTCCAGGGCTCCTTGGCTGCTGGGAAGTTTCCTGTGAGGGTGAGGGCCCCTCACTCCAGCTGTAACACTCAAGCTAGAGGATAAGGGCAGGGCCTGTGTCTTAGAGGTTCTTTGTCCAAAAGCTGGGTTCGGAACATTCCTGGGAGAGTCCCAGTTATTTCTGCATGGCTCCTGCCTCTTGCTGGAGTGACAGGAGCACAGGATGAGGGACAGGTATCTCGAGTGGATTTGGAGGAGAGCTGTGCATTGAGCCGGGCTGTGGTAGGGAGCAGAACAAGCAGAGAAAGCTGGAGTCACGGGCTACTACTCATAGAACGACCATCCTTATGTTCCCCTATGGAAGGGCCTGGAGTGCAGGTCATTGGCAGCCTGACTTGGGTTCACAGAAGAAAACCCTAGAAAAGTCTTTTGGGGAGCAGCAGAGGTGTCACCTCTTCCTTAAGAACTGGAAGTTCTGGCTGCTGCAGCTCTCCTGCTGAGGAGTGAGGCCTGAGCTCTCCTGCTCTGCCTCACCGGTTTGGTTTGTGTGCGGGGGGCCTCTCTGCACCTAAGAGGCTTCCACACGTTATAGTCAGTGAGCTACTTGGACACTATCTTGCTTACTCTGTGCAGTAGTCTGGAACACCACCAGGAGGAAGGTCACTTTGGAAGCTGAATAAAATACACAAAACCTTTCCCAAGCCCAGCACTGTGTTACTTGCCCGAAAGCCCACCAGTGGGGAAGCTGGAGCAGGAAGCTTATGAATTCAATGCCAGTCTGAGATTCTCTGAAATCCAAAACAAACAAACAAACAAACAAAAATCAGACCTAAAATGTTAAAGAAAACCCTTACCTAGCATGTCCTGCCCATCCCCAAGCTGCAGGCCAGCCAGCGGCACCTGGTGGCTGCAGTGGGATTGTCATGTCACAGCTTGGGTTTAGTTTGTGGGGAGTGGGGTGGGAAGGACACCACCACCCTCTGTGGGCACATACACCACAAAGAGCAAGCCCCATCCTGGGGACCTCCTGGGGACGGTGTTCACTGACCTTCCTGTGTGTTAATAGTGGGAGAGGGCGTGTGGCTCCAACGCAACTAATTCTCCTCTGTGTAGCTAGCCAGCCCTGCCCTGCTTAGAACTCGGTATCCCCTCCCCAGAATGCCATCCATCATTGTACACTGCATGTTGCATGTTTTAGAACTGGGTGGCACCTCAGTCTGGGTATAGTCATGGAATGACCTCTGACCCTAGCACCTATGATCTCAACGCCTCAATTTGTATCCCCTGGCACACGATGTCCCCGTGTGGCCTGAATGACCCTTAGCACGCTCATCTCCCTCTCCTGAGCTGCCCAGCCCTGCATCTCCAAGGCAGCATCCCTTCCTGCACTGAATTTGTTCCTCTACACTTCCACCCCTGCTTGCCTCCTGATGTCTGCGTCACCTCCTGGTATCCCCCTCCTCCAATGGACAGGGCTTCCCTGGGATGTGCTGCCTAACCAGCGGCTGATGAATGAATAGGGTCACATCTCAGAGCCCAGAATCTTCTGTGTACTGCCGCTGTTGAGTTGGTCGAGGGTAAACCTCCCAACTCAGGCCCAGGGTGAGCTACCGGCTCCTGGACTTCCCAATAACCAAGGAAGACCCTCCCATACCTGTAGGTGGAGCCTGTGAGTCACTACAGGAGCTTGTGCCTGGTGCCCCTCCTCCCAAGTCTCCACCCAGAACTCAAGGCCGTGGAGCCACTGTCCTTCCTGGGGCATTCCACTTCCCTGCTCCTCCCCTGCGTGTCATTCACCGCTGTGGTAAGGCTGAGTGCTGCGGACGGTTGTGGCCATTCTGCTCTGTAGATCTTTGCTCACTTCTCGTCCCCTTCTCTGTTCTAGGGCACCGGTTTTCGACTTTCCTAATGCTGTCACCCTTTAATACAGTTCCTCATTCTGTGGTGACCCCAATCATAAAATCATTTTGTTGCTACTTCATAACTGTCATTTTTGCTACGGTTATGAGTTGTAATGTACATATTTTCTGAGATGGAGGTTTGTCAAAGGGGTGGCAACCCACAGGCTGAGAACCACTGCTGGAGGAGCTCATTGCTCTGCCTACCAAAAGCCAAGCTCTAGCCAGCCGGGAAGAAGAGAGGAGCTGCAGGGGGTGGGGCGGGGAGCAGATCCAGTGCCCTGAAGGAAACCTCAGGAAGGGTGGAGACACTGCTGGGTGTAAGCAATAGGCTGGAGCAGTGACCCAGCAGGGAGCATAAGGAAACAAGAGGGTGCTATTTCCTTGCCTGGAGTCCCCTAGCCCCTCCAACACTCTTGGGACCACAAGGAGAGACCTTTCATCTCTGACAAGGGATCCCAATGTGCAGTCCCGGGAGCCTCCTGTGACTTTGGCACAGTGGTCTGGAGAGGGTAGCAAGTGTGAAGATTGTAACTGCTGTCCAGTGGGGATGGGGCCAGCAGGAGACAGCCAGTCCCAGAAACATCTGCCACACAGTGTGGCCATCATCATGGTCTCCGAGGCATGCTGGTCCTCGGCCAGCTCCTCACGTCAAAGGACAATCTGGCTCATGCTTGGATCCTGGTGTGGGTGTTGACACCGCGTGGGAGCTGCAGTCCTGAATCCTGCCTCAGGAGGGAGCCTCCTGCCGCCACAGGAGGGAGCTCGTGTTCTATTAACAATGAGAAAGCAGATGTTAACGTGTTACTGAAAGGTAACCAGGAAATACATCTTACGGTTTTAAAATTATTATTTGTGTGCAGGTGTGCACGCGCATGTATACATGTATACACATGTTTACATGCATGTGAGGCCAAGAGGTTAGTGTTGGGTGTCTTTTTCAGCTCCTCTCTGCCTTGTTCTCTTGGGCAAGGCTAGGTCTCCTGGAGTCTGGAGCTCACTAATTCAGTTGAGCTAGCTGGCCAGTGAGCCCCAGGGAGTCAACTATTTCTACTTCCGCTCTTGGCTTTTTCTTTTTCTTCTTCTTTTTAAAATATGGACTCTGGGTGCTCAAGTTTGCGCAGCACACACTGTATTGACTGAGCCATCTCCCTAGCCCCCAGCATCCTGTATTTTTTTGAAGCCACCATCTTTACCTTGATGTACAGTGTTGGGTACCAGCTGTGAGGAAGTTGAAAATACCTCATGACAGGCCAGCTCTGTGGAGGCACACGCTCCCTCATTTCCATGTATGCCCTTGGGAACCTCTGGTGAGTGGCTGCAGCCATTGGTTCCTGCACCCTCTCCCCTCACAGTTGACTACAGTGTCCAAAGAGGGAGGAAACTTTTTGACTGGCGACTTGCTGGCTGTGGCTCACACCTCTCTGCCAGGGACTCAGTCCAACTGTACAGTGCATGAAGGCTTTGAGCTTACTTTTGGTGGGCATTTCATTTTCTGTAACATAGCTGGGATATGCTGGACTCCTGCTTGGAAAGCTTCAGGAAGCCAGGGCCCAATATCTCTTACTTCCATTGGTGTTAAGAATGTTTGATGTTAGCAAGAATGAGACCAGAGAGATGGCTCAGGGGTTAAGAGCACTGACTGCTCTTCCAGAGGTCCTGAGTTCAATTCCCAGCAATCACATGGTGGCTCACAACAATCTGGAATGGGATCCGATGCCCTCTATCTGGAGACAGCTATAGTGTACTCACATACAAAAAAGAATGTTTGATAGCAAGAGTGAGACCAGAGAGACGGCTCAGGGGTTAAGGGCACTTGCTGTCCTTGCAGAGGACCCCAGGTGGCTCACAGCTGCCTGTAACTCCAGTTCCAGAGGATCTGGTGCCTTCTCTTAGCTTCTGCAGGCCCACAGAAATAAACAAA